TTCAAGAAGAATTGCCATTAGATCATGCTATTAGGCTTCCCCGCACCCCCCACCCCTTTGCGCTGCCTGTCCCCCCCTCTCTGTCAGCTCAGAGGCTAATGCATCACACCCTTCAGCGACCTCCTTCATTTGTACAAACAGTGAGTGTGTGTGAGCGCCGTGCCAGCTGTAGGCACATGATCCAACACTACGGCGCTCTCCCATCGCTCTCAGCCGGGGGATATCGAACGCGGGTCGCAGCAGACCGATCGCTTGCCAAAGGGATTCCCTCATGGAGAGGAAGGAGAAAAAAAAGAGAAGGAGTCAGGTTGTCTGAAGCTTCGGCCAAGGTGGGGAGAAGATTGATCTTGGGGGAACGTCTCTACAGCCTATGATGGTTCAGTTTCCAATCATTCACCCTGGAATTAGTCTTGTTTTGTCACTTTAGAATTAAAAAAATGTCAGCTGAGAATAATGGAGGCTCTTTGATGATATATTATTGTCAATTTCACTGATCGTTGTTGCTCCTGAGCCCTGCTATTGGCTGCTGACTCATTTGATGATCATCCTCTTCTGTCTTTGCTGGGAGGTGAAAACCAGTGAGGTTTCTGGTGGATGTCGTGGTTGTGCAGGGGGGTGGTGTCAAGATGTGGCCGGCGGGCAGCATACACTGAGGAGGTGCAAAGGTGACACTGTTGAGTCATGCCTGCAGGGAAACTTGCCCTTGTTTGCTTTGAGCTAGCACAAAGATGGGCAACTTAAATGAAGGAAGGGACCACAGGTTTTTGTTGACAGTACAAAAGGATCACATAGTKCTGCACACCGAATGAAACAAAACTACCATTTTTGAAATGTTTATATAAATATATTTATTAAACCAACATACAGTGCAGTTACTTAACACATTTCATGGTTGTGGTTTTGGTAAAAAGTCACTGTTGTTTATGTACTTGTGACTTCAGTAAACATCTCATATTTAGCTTTGTGCAACTTCATTACAGACAGCRTCTCTAAGCTAACCAAAACCGGGTTTGCCTTGAAATTATGTGAACTGATAGTCTATCTCCCAAAATATTTTTAAGTAAAAAAAAAAAAAGATGGAAGTCACGTGGCCCACGGGCCACCAGTTGTCCATCTCGGAGCTAACATTTATTTTTTTCTCAATAATCTTATGAAGTAAAAGCCAAGCCGTGCAGCCGTTATGGTCAACTTTTTAAAATCRTGTTATGCACATTTAACGCAATATCATAAGAAATGATGGTCCAAGTATGTGTTGTGTTTCTCAACTACTACCACAGCAAATTTTCACTTAATGTCTGCAAAACTGACTGAGCTGATATTAGATGGCCATCTTAAATTGGAACGACTCCACTTCCTTTCTGTTCTTTAAAACATATCCAAGCTGTTTGGGTAACAGACACATGAGCGCACACAGACACAGGCAAAAACACCATCGTCCACCTTTGCCTTTTGGTGGTGGGTGTTATGAAATGCTCTCACGAAGTATAAACTCCCCAGACATTTTGGAGCATTTATGTTCAAGTTTGTAGTTATTGCCCMCCTTCTTCCTGTCTGTCTGTGTTCAGCCCCAAGGTTAAAAGAGTCTTCTTTTTTTTTTTTTTCTGCTCAGGAATGTCATAATAATGCCGGCTTCCTCCGGTCAGGATATTGTGTGTCTCTCTGGGTTTACACTGCCCTCAGAAAGGCACTTCAGAGGCCACCACGCTCTGAAGAGCCTGATGTTGACTTCATTCCCAGAGGGCTGTTTTTTTTTTCAGTGTCTTCACCAGAAACACCCCTGGGACGTGTCTTTAAGTCGAACTTCCTCATGGCAGAGTGCCCCCCCCCCCCCCCCCCCCCCCCCCTTTAACATCCACCGGTTACCTGTTTTTACAAGACAGTTAGTGAGAAAGGAAGAAAGATAAAGAAAAAAGAAGACAGCGATGGATGGAGTAAGAAAAAAGGTGATCCTCACAGAAATAATACTTGGCTGGAGTTGTAAAGCCCTTGCATTTCAGAAGCCTTGACTTAACTTTTGATTTCTGGCTCCGTCTGCTCACCTCTCTGCCTCCTCTTTTCCTTCTTAAGCCGCAGACTGAAAGTTGCAATGACAGCACAACTGTCAGCCCTTGTCACAGAGGGACGAGGGCCCAAAGTGACGGGAAGTGACAGGGTTTTATTAGAAAATCCTATTCATATCGGACACTGAGGCCCTCCAGCCTTTGTGCATTCTTCAGCAGAATAAATTAGAAACGAGAAAAGCCAGAAAGAAAGAAAATGAAGTGCACCAAGGAACAAGGGTAACAAAACAAAATGGAGAAAACACCATAGGAAAAGAAACACTCTTATAGAGATAAAGCATTACTGAAATTTATTTTTCTTTTGAAGTGGGTTCTGTAGCAAGGTTCTGAGTAATCAYTATCTTACCTGTTATAGATAGCTTTTTGAATGGCCTCAGTTTAGAGAAATAACATTTTGTTCCGATTGGATTAATGAGCTAAAAGCTAGTCTAAAAGTAGCTGAGACCATTTTTTTGTAGCACTTTGGGATTCTTGACTGTAAAGTGCCCTATAAATCAAATCTATTATTAATATTATTTTAGGGGCGGGGCTACAGTGTCATCAGTCCCAGCTAAAAATCTGATTTGCCCCCTGATGTGCCCCTGTCCTGCCACTCATCTGTCATTTTAGTAATGACGGTGAATGCAGTTCCATGTCCAAACACTAGTAGGGCTAATGAGACAAATAGGAAAATCCAGCATGACTCAAGCTTACAGAGGTCTTCTTCTCTTCTTAAAGGGATCCATGTTTAGTTGTAACTTTAAACTTTATTTGATAAGCGTTTATTTTAACTGTAAAATAAAGACGGTAAAACTACTGTAGGCTGTTTAGTTTTGTAAATTAAAAATATATATATTTTT